AGCACTGACTCACCATAGATTGACTCCATGCTCTGCCGTTCTTTACTAGTCAGAACCAAGAGGTCAGCAGGCGGCAGTGCCCCTCAGAAAATTCTTTCTAGGTGCCTTCATATAGTACTGGACACTACGGCACTAAAGACTGTGGGCATCTTCTACAGAAACCTCCCAGCAGCTTAGGTAGGGAGCCTCGGAATTGTGGTCTGACTGTTTACAGGTTGGGCAGCTTGCCTGTCAGCTATGTTAGAACTGCCTCTGCTTTAGGACTCCTGACCTGCTGACAGGGCCTGCTCAGATCTGGTGCTAAGGCCTTGGTTTTAGGAGGGAAGCTCATCTGCCCTGAGGTTTGTAGAGCATGTCCTAAACTGACATATGCCTGCCTGTGCTTCATTTGAGTAAACTTTCAGTGGAATGTCTGTTAGTATATGTGTGAGAAGCATTGTTCTCAGGAAGATCTTGCCAAAGGTACAATCTAATGCTAGGTCACTGGGACAAGCCTACCTGTGTGTTCACTTGGAGGCGGTACAGGTTGGAGAGAAGAATGTTTTCTGGTTTTGTGGGTAAATTATTTGTTTCTCCATGAATTAGTTTTATTCCTTTGGATTATGGGTTGCAATAGTACTACTTCAGGTTTGTTGTGAGAATAAAAAGTTACTATATGTATATATTTAGAAAAGAGCTTAGAGTGTTAGGATAGGTAAGATTTTTACTGTCAACCTCTATAGCTACTTGGGCACTGTTAAACAAATTAATGAACTCAGTGTTTACTTAAGACGGTGGAACTGGTCGGGCAGTGGTGGTGCACGCCGGTAATCCCAGCACTCTGAGTTCAAGGCCAGCCTGGTCTACAGAGTGAGTTCCAGGATTGGCACCAAAGCTACAGAAAAATCCTGGTTTCCCAAAACAAACAAACAAACAAACAAAGACAGCGGAGCCGAGCTGCTGGGGAGATGGCTTTAGTGCTGAAGAGCAGCTTCTCGGCTCTTACCTGTTGGGAACTTCAGTTCCAGGGTTGCCTTCTGTCTTCTGTTATCATCAGGCACTTCCATACACAGATATACATGCAAGAAAAACACACACACACAAAAGTAAAATTTTTTTTAAAGTAAATTTTTAAAAAGCAAAGAGAAGCAGTGGAACACAAGCCATGTACCCACGGCCTCTACCCCGTTAGAGGTCAGGACTGAGTCCCAGGCCATTCTGGGCCTAGACAACAGCTGTTCCAGTGCTGCTCATGGTTCACTGTGAACAGCTGTGGAGTCTGAGTAGACCGAGGAGTGGTTCATGAAGCTCTTTGGTGTTTGTAGTTGAGCAGTGGGGTTCAGAATTGTTGTATTAGTACTTCTAACACGCTGGGAAAGTGGAACCAAGGAAGTGCTGAGCTGAGCACTATAAGCTTCTGCCATTACACCCATTTGGTAATGACAGTGGAGAGATGTGAGAACAGGCTTCTTCAAGGGCGCCTTGACCTGGACCAAGGACAGGCCTGTGTACTGTAGCAGTGTTTTCAGTTTGGAGGCTCAGCTGTATAGCCGAGTCCTGCTACCTGCTGGCTTTTCGCTCATTTTTGACTCATAACCTCACTTCTTTTTTTTTTTTTTTTATTTTTATTTATTTAACTTTATTATGTTCGTTGGTGTGAAGGTGTCAGATCTCGTGGAACTACATTTTCAGACAGTTGTGAGCTGCCATGTGGGTGCTGGGAATCGAACCCGGGTCCTCTGGAAGAGCAGTCAGTGCTCTTAACCACTGAGCCATCTCTCCAGCCCCATAACCTCACTTCTTAATCAGAAGAGAACTCTCTACACCCCCAGAAGACAGATGCCTTTGTTCTTAATATGGCCACACACAGACCTTCAGCATTTTAAATCATTCCTGGAGCCAGACAGTGATGGTGTGTGCCTTAAAGTCCTAGCACTCAGGAGGCAGAGGCAGGTGGACCTTTGTGAGTTCGAGGCCAGCCTGGTCTATGGAGCAAGTTCCTGGACAGCCAGGACTACAAAGGGAAACCCTGTCGTGACTCCCATCCACCCTCCCAAAAGAAAAAAGTATGCATGTGAAAACTAGAGAGGGACTATTGAGATAGAGAGATCATGAGCCAGGCTTTGAGTAAAGCAAGTAGTGGAGGTAATATGGGCAGAAGGAGGCAGTGGGGATGGAGACCCAGGGAGAAGGAGGATAGAATCGACCAAAATGTTAAGTATTTATGAGACTGCCTCAAGGAGACCTGTTACTGTGTATGCTAATTTAAAAAAATGCTTGGGTTACACCATAAGAAATCTGACTTCATTTTGTTCGTGGAGATGCTGGTAAAGCTCTCTGGAGATCCTGAAGCAGCCCAGGATGAAAGTCAACAGAGTAGGAGCTCTCACGACCAGCTTCCTTCTATACCCTGACTTACCAGTGGAAATGCATGCAGACCTCTTGTGGGTTTTAAATACTAGTAGCTCCTTAACACTCAACAAGTTAAAAATGGGTGATATCGCTGGGTGTGGTGTCTCACACCTTTGATCCCCGGTACCTAGGAGGATCTCTGAGTTCAAGACTGTCCTGGTCTACAAGTGGCATTTCAGGACAGTCAAGACTACATAATGCGCCTTATCTCAAAAAAAAAAAAAAAAAAATAGGTGAAACTAACCATTTCTTTAAGGGTAAATGGAAAATTTTATCATTTTAACATGTAACCAGACTTGTTTTATTTCTGCAATCTTGTCTTTTCACACTTAGCGCATCTCAGTTCAGATGGCACGTTTCAGGTGCTGAATAGAGATCCTGATTTGTTTTAGAAGCAGCCATGCCGGGCGGTGGTGGCGCACGCCTTTAATCCTAGCACTTGGGAGGCAGAGGCAGGCGGATCTTTGTGAGTTCGAGACCAGCCTGGTCTACAAGAGCTAGTTCCAGGACAGGCTCCAAAACCACAGAGAAACCCTGTCTCGAAAAACCAAAAAAAAAAAAAAAAAAAAAAGAAGCAGCCATATAGGGTGTTCCTACAGGAGTTTGGTTCAGCAGTGCTGTTCAGAGAAGTCTGCTTTTTTTCTTTTTGTTTGGTTTTTTAGATTTATTTAAATACAGGAGAGTTTTATCTGCATGTGTGTATATACATGTGTATATACACACATACACATATATATTTGCACCGGTGTCTACTGCCCATGGAGGTCAGATTCCCTTCTGGAGTTAAATGGTTGTGAGCTGCCATGTGGGTGCTGAGAACAGAACCTGGGTCTTCTCTAAGAGCAATAGGTACTCTTAACTGCTGAGCCATCTCTCCAGCCAATCTAGAGAGTTATTTCACAGTTCCAAATGGAGAGCCTCACATGGAGAACTGTTGTGATTGCAGAAGATGACAGCCTTTTTTTTTTTCTTTCTTTCCGAGACAAGGTTTCTCTGTAGTTTTGGTGCCTGTCCTGGAACTAGCTCTTGTAGACCAAACTGGCCTCAGACTCAGAGATCCTCCTACCTCAGCCAACTGAGTGCTGGGATTAAACACCTGCACCACCATCACCTGGCGACAGGCTTTTTCTTATTCATACTCATCCCCCACGTTATTAATAATCTACCCACACAGCCATCCACACAAAACATGCAAATGGGGCAGGAAGTGAAATGGGAAAGCAGAAACTGCCCCGTGATAAATGTGGCCTGTGTCCCATGTTTACATATTGGTCTCAGACACCAGCAGCAAAGGAGGAATCATTGCTTCACAAAATTGAGGTACTGGATCCCTTCCTCATTTTCCCATTGCTTCTTGGTTGGCTATATACTTATTTGTTTTTGAGACAGGATTTTATATAGCCAGGCTGCCTAGAATTTGATATATAGCTAAGAGTGACCTTGAATCTGATCATCCTGTCCTCAGTGCTGGGTTTCTAAGTCTTAGCCACCATACCTAGGCTTTATGCAGTGTGGGAGGTTGAACCTACGCTGTGGGTATGCTATGCGAGCTCTCTACCAGCTAAGCCACACCCTGCTGTGTCCAGATCTAAACAATCCTTGTAACCAGGACTTGTTCTTGGATCAGCATCTCACTGCTGGTTCTGGTTGACCCACCACTTCTGATTATACTCCATCAGTATGGTCACGTGATCAGAGCTTGCTTGAGGTTGCAGTGGGTGTTACTACTCTCATTGAGACAGCTCAGTTTCCTGGCAGAGAACTAGATTAGTTCTCCACTGCAGTCTGTTTCACAGCATAGGGAAGGCTGATTTTCCACCTACATGTTTAGTTTAAGGAATCTTATTTTTGGAGGCTTTTGGAAAGCTTCAGTAATCTTTTGTTGCATTTTATTCTTTTGCAGTAGTGGGGATCCAGTCCAGGACTTCACCCCTGCTGGACAAACACTCTATCACTGAAGTACATCCTTGGCCTAGGGAAGGTTTCTTTGGATCCCAAATACAGTGGAAACTTTGAGCATTGTGCACAAGGATCATTTTGCTCATAGTGTTGTATAGATCTCTGGGGTTTGTGGTCTGGGTGTGTTCATAATAAGTATCCACCTGTATCTTCGACACTGAGTCTAAATTATAAACATTCAAATAAATACCCTGACGAAGAGAACCCAACATGTTCTTACTTCCGGGGATAGTTCTTTTGCTGTTGGTTTTGCTTATTTTGCCTATCATTGTCATCATTTAAGTCATCAGAGGCCTTTGCAAGGCGTTGGCTTCTTGAAGGACTTCAGAATGATAGGGAATGTTAGGCGCGTGCCTGCTGCTGTACCTGCATCCTGATTTGTTGTGATCTCCCACTTTGTGGTGCTGGAGATTGAACCCAGGATTGTGCTTGCTGTACGGGCTGTACCACTGAGCCACCCTCCAGCCCCATCTTCATTTTTTTCATGCTCTGTTCTTTCTCTAGAACAGACTGCAGGTCACAGCAGGTGCTTGAATTATTTTTACCTCCTAACCACCAACCACAAAGCTCTTCATCCTTAGGCCTAATTTTTCCACTCGATACCTGGACTCAATTCTCAATGATTTCTTTTTCTTTTTTTCTCTTTCAAGCCTAACTATGGGACAGCTTTACGAGAAGGAAAAAGATGAAGATGGATTCTTGTATGTGGCCTACAGCGGAGAGAACACTTTTGGCTTCTGAGGGCCAGTGCTGGGCTAGGTGCACCGTTCCTGCTTGTGTATCTTGTAAATAACTGGCTGTTTTCAGTTACTCTACCAGAGCCTCTTCACATAGACCTACTAGTGCATTTGTAACTGGATTTATTTCTTAATATATTGGAAAGTTTTGTTTCTTTAGATTAGTAAATTATCATACAGAGTTTTATTTTCAGTTTTCTTTTTATTCATTGACCTCATGGCTATATGCTTCAAGGGACCTGTCCTCTGGGAATCATATTTAATGAAGATATTTCCATAATGAAGGGAGGTAGGTGTGGCATTAAAGTGAAAAGGAGGGGTGATGCATTCATTGTTCTGGATTATGTTCCAAGTGTTAGGTGGCTAAGTATTAAAAGCCCCCAAATGAAATCCTTAGCAATCAGAATACACTTGCTTCACTAGATTTTGCCAACTGCAAATCATGTTGGATTAAGCTAATCTGTTCTTCTTTCTGAGACTATTAAGGTAAATAATTAACAATAAAACTTCCTCTTATAAAGGCATTACAGTGTGACCATGTCCTTATTCACCTTCTTTTGGATGAGTGAGAGAAATGGTTCCTATTTGTCAGGCCTGGAGAAGGGCTTATAGGCCATGGCAGTCTAACCTAGGAGGGAAGTGGTGGCTGGTATCATAAAAGGGATAATTTTTTTTCAGTGGATAATATAGTCATAAGGTTCAGATACCAGGGCTATGTAAAAAGGTATACTATAAAACTTATACTACTGTTTTCAGATCTCTGCTGCTTATGGAAAATTGACTTGTATGGGCTTTTTTCCCAGTATTTATTTTAGTAGCATAATTAAGTATGAATATATGCATATACATTTTTAAAAAGATTTATTATTGTGTTTTGCCTGCATGTATGTCTGTGTGAGGGTGTGTCAGATCCACTGGAACTGGAGTTACAGACATTTGTGAGCTGCCATGTGGGTGCTAGGAATTGAACCTGGATCCTTTTGAAAAGCAGCCAGTGAGTTCTCTTAACCACCATGTATATACATTTTTTGTTTACATAAAATAAAACATATATTTATACATTGCATTTTTTGTTTTGTTTGAGACAGGGTTTGACTTTATAGTTATCAACCTGACATGTATACAACTTTATATGTACTTGTGCTCTTTTGTTTGAGATAGGTCAAACCTCTTGGAGCTCATTATGGGGCCAGATCCACCTGCCTCTGTCTCCTGAGTGCTGGGATCAAAGGCATGCACCACCAAGCCTGGCTTGTACCTGTGTTCTTTAAGGTACTTCTTTCTAGGCTCTTAAATTAAGATTAGATTTCTCCTGACTGAGTTTCATAGTTTTCTCCCAAATTAGCGCAGGTGTGTATGCTTGTCACAAATGCAACTTTGAGAACATGGCTTCATATCTAAATCTTCCGCAAAAGGACTATGTTGGTGGCTGTAACCTTATATTAATCATCAAAATAAGGACACCAGCTAGGAGTAATGGTGCTCACCTTAGTCCCAGCACCTGGGAGGCAGAGGCAGATGAATTTCAGAGTTCAAAGCCAGCTTGGTATACATAGTTCCAGGATAGCCAGAGCTACATAGTGAGACTTTATGTTTTGAAAACAAAAACAGAAAAGGAAACAAAGTATCACTCAGTGATGTAAGGACATGTAGTTAAAATAATAATCATAAACTTTAAATTTTTATTTTATTTGATGCATGTGAGTGTACCATGTGTGTGTCTGGTACCTGTGGTGGCCAGAGGGTATGAGATGTGGAGTAAGAACTGGAGTCATAACTGGTGGTGAGCTGCCGGGAACTAAGTGCAGGTCCTTTGGAGGCAGTGCTTGCAGCTGCTGAGCCGGCTCTCCAGCTTCTCCTTTTTGTTGTGTGTTGTCTCAGTTTGCAGCCCTGGCTGGTCCTCTGAGTGTTGGTACTAAAGATATGTACCACCACACCTATCATGATTTTTTGTTTTCTCTTAATCAGAATATATAAGCAGGTTGACACAGCTCTCCATTGATGAGTTTCTCAATTGGAATTATAAAAAACATTTCTGTCACAACTAACTTGTAGATTTTCTTTAGTGGCCTGAAAGTCCAGTTCCCAAGCTACTACCCAGGGTGACTCAGAGACTTCTTAGGAGCGAGGATTGAAAGATTTCTGTAATAACTTCACACACAATCTGAGGGTCATTCTCTTTATTATTCTGCAGCTATTATTCTCTTGTCTAATTGACTCTGATTCTCTTTAGTTCCAATTCTCTCTATCCTAAATCATTTCTGTTTATTTGTTTGTTTTTGTTTTTTCGAGACAGGGTTTCTCTGTGGTTTTTGGAGCCTGTCCTGGAACTAGCTCTGTAGACCAGGCTGGCCTCGAACTCACAGACCCGCCTGCCTCTGCCTCCCGAGTGCTGGGATTAAAGGCGTGTGCTACCACCTCCCGGCTTATCCTAAATCATTTCTAATTATCTGTTTCATTCCACTTCTTCCTTGGTTCTTTGTTCACCTAGCTTAAATACATTTTTTTAAAGATTTATTTATTTATTATGTATACAGTGTTCTGCCTGTGTGCATACCTGCACCCCAGAAGAGGGCACCAGATCTCATTACAGACGGTTGTGAGCTACCATGTGGTTGCTGGGAATTGAACTCAGGACCTCTGGAAGAACAGTCAGTGTTCTTAACCGCTGAGCCATCTCTCCAGCCCCTTAAATACATTTTTTTACAGGTGACTTGAGGCAGTAAGGAAAAAGCTACAAGAATTACATCTCATTGGTCAAAGCAAATTCCATGGGTAACAATAAGGACAGTGGCATTTACCATAGTAAAGCAAGGTTTCAATGTTTCTGGAGTAAGACTGACCAATGGCTGGGGGCATGACTTTTTAGGTTGATTTGTGTTAATAACCTTGGTTAGACGTCTGCAACTCTGACCTTGTGTAAAGTTTTTAACTTTTACGATCCTTTTACAGAAGCATTCAATCTAGTTTGAACATGCTCCAAGGTAAAAAATGAGCTAATTATGTGTAGCTTGTCTTAGATGGGGAGAAATTGTTTTCTTGAGTTAGTCTGAGTAAAAGAAACAGCAGGCTTTTAAGTGTTTTCTAGTCCTTATAGGACTAGAAAATATATATAGTTATAAAGCATATTCTAGTATATTTTCTATACATCAAAATTATACAGCTTAGTGAGAAGTCATCTTCCTGACTACCCACAGATATGTGTGCCCATAACATTGAGACGCAATCATGAGATAACACATACACATCACATGAGGTTACACACTACAATGCAGGTATTGGGGAGACACCATAGCTGTTTTTGCACATGTGAAACTACAGACAGGAAGCGGGTGATGCACACCTTTAATCCCAGCACTTGGGAGGCAGAGGCCAGCCTGTGAGTTTGAGTCCAGCCCGGTCTACAAGAGTGAGTCCAGGACAGTTTCCAAAGTTGCAGCGAAACCCTATCTCGAAAAAACCAAAAACCAGAAATTACAGACAGGATAACAGTTTCCGGAGTCAGTGGTCCTGCAAGCCTTGCCCGAATAAGATTCTTCTCTACCAGAGAAGCACTCCTCTGGTGGGTTGACATCTGAACACTAGTTGTCACCTGCTGCAACTCCCACAGCCTCCGACTTACTTTCCTGGCCAAATAAAATGTGCGTTTGTCTTTGCTGGTAGTTTCAAACTAGAAGCAAGTAAAAACTGGCCTTTGATGACAGGAAGATAGCAAGCTAGTTGTTACAGAGGAGTCTTATTTGTGGTCAACTGCACTGAGACTGGCCTAAGCCATAGAAAGGCATGGTTTGAGCTAGTTTAGGATGGTTCACTGGCTGTGGCTTTGTTTTCCTGTGTGTTGATTTCATTCTCAGGCAGATTGTTTGCATGTGATGGATGGCAAAGATGCTTCCATCAGCTAAGCGTCTCTAGTGAGGAAAGAACACTTGTTTGTTTTTGAGACAGTTTTTCTGTGCAGCCCTGGCTGTCCTGGAACTTGCTCTGTAGACCAAACTAACTTTGGAACTCAGTGTTCTGCCTGCCTCTGCCTCCCTGGAATAGAAGTGCTGGGATTAAAGGTGTGTGCCCCTACTGCCCTGCAAACACTTCTAGTACAAACAAAAGTCCTGTGACTGGGTGTGGGGGGCACACATGTTAATCCTGGAGACAGAGATAGGCAGAGCTACACAGAGGGACCTAATGGGACAAAAATGGTCCTTGGAGGAGCTAGGCAAGGCACCGCTTGTCAACCCAGATTCTTGGGAGGCTGAGGCAGAAGAAGCACTGAGGCCAATGGGAGCAACAGACCATTTCTCAAAACGAAAGTCTCTTGATGGACTCTGACCTTGGGCCACAAACAGCCCTGCAAGGGACAGGTAGACAGGAATGGTGAGTCCCTGTCCTGTTTGGAACAGAACAGGACAAACAGAAGTTAGCTTTCCACAGGCGTTTTGATCTATTTCTGTCTGTAACCACAAACCCACAAATGCACCTAAGAAGAATAGTGAGAAAAGTCTCAAGGCAAGTCACTGAAGGTGACTGTCAGTTTTTAAAGGAAGCCTCATATATCCCAGGTTGGTCTCCAACTTTCTAACTAGCCAAGGATGACCTTGAATTCTGATCTTTTTGTCCCTCCTGAGTGCTGGGATTATAAGTACACCCCATCACACCTGGTTTTGTAACTTACTGGGGATGGAGCCGAGGGCTTGCACATTAGGTAAGCCCTCTTCAGTTCAACTGCATCCCTAGCCATGGCTATCCCTAACAGCCACCCTGTGCAGTAGTGAACTTGGCTTGACCATGCGGACAGTACAAGATTATAATGTGCTTGGACACTGGGGCACAATATGAATAGAGGATCATCTCATCCTGTCTGAGCTTACAAGAAGCAAGGTTGTCAGTGTGATGGTTGACTCCATTGGAGTGGTCTGGAAAGATGGCTCAGCTGTTAAGAGAGTTTACTAATTTTGCAGAGGACCCAAGTTTGGTTCCTAGCACACATGGCATGGCTCACAACTGTCTTAACTCCTGCTTCTCACACCTCTGAACTCTCCAGCCACCTGCACTTATATGCACACACATGTACACATAACTAAAAGTAAAAATGAATCTTTAAAGAAAGTGTTGAAACAGCAGAGAGAATATCAGCTTCAAAACCCACCATTTGAGCCGGGCGGTGGTGGCGCACGCCTTTAATCCCAGCACTCGGGAGGCAGAGGCAGGCGGATCTCTGTGAGTTCGAGGCCAGCCTGGTCTACAAGAGCTAGTTCCAGGACAGGAACCAAAAGCTACGGAGAAACCCTGTCTCGAAAAATAAAAAAAAAAAAAAAACCCACCATTTGAGTTGGAGAGGTATTTCAGTGGCAGAGGACCCAGGCTTGGCTCCTAGTACCCACATAGGGCAGCTCACAACTGCTTGTAACTATCCTTAGGGGAGCCAGCGCCCTTTTCTGGCCTGCAAGGGCACTTGTAGTCACATGTGCACACACCCTCCCCCCAGTACACATAAAATATAAAAGTAAGATCTAGGGGGAGGAGAGATGGC